CTATGAAAATTCCTTTGCATACAATACATACATACATACACCCATTAGCCAATTGCCCGTCAAGCCCCATGTCAGGCCTGCTCCCCCTTCCTTCCTGCTGCTTGGGGTCTGGGCCCACTCCCCCTTCTCCGTTGTGGTGGTGGGGGGAGGGAGGGAGGAGAGGGCTAAGGTTCTATGTGGGGGTGTGGGGAAGGACCGGGCCTGAGGGTGGGGAGAAGCTGGCTTGCTGCGGTTCTGGGGTGGAGCAACGGTTCTGGGCCAACCCAGTGGTGGCAGGGGGATGGGAGAAGGGGGGGCGGGGGGGGGAGAGGGGGGGGGGGGGGGGGGGGGGGAACAAGGGGGAAAAAAACAAAAAACAAAAACAGAGCAAGACGAATGCCCAAGGACATTTTCTTAGACTGATCTTACCACCTTGGGTCCAAAGTGACCCCAAAACCAGGAAGATTTCAAACCAAATCAAGGAGCTACAAAGCGAAGATGTCTCAGGTGAATCCTTTGTCTCTAGGAATGATTTCTTGACAATTATCAATGGGGAGAGAGACACACGCTTGGTTCTGTAACCACTCCAATGAACACACAGAAATGAGCAGAGAGCAGAGGGACCTGGGGTATTTATAGCTGCTTCCTGTAGAATCCACATGCCAAAACCACTACTATTTCTCCAAAGGGTTATACCACTACATCCACAGCTTCTCCTGGAGCAGGGCCCCAGGGCGCAACTTCATGAAGACACAAACAAGCTTCTTACAGGAAAGAGAAATAAGACTGGCACACAATACTTGGCATCCGAATAGCAGGGGTTTAAAAGACTGGACTGGTTTAAGCTGTGGCTCTAGATGCACAGGCTCCTGCAATGCCAGCCTACTGCTGGATGCATACAATGAAAGGGATGACCGAGACACTTACCTGGACCTGCTGTGGCTGCTGAACCTGTATCTGCTGCTCTTGCTGGGTTTGCTGCTGGACACTGGTTGTAACAGGACAAGCAAGTTCAAGCAAAGACCCAGCTACTTCTGTGCTGTCCGTGTAAATGCAGTTGCCACCCTGCTGATATACCATCGTGGTAGTGGCTGTCTGCTGGAACTCCTGTAGAGCTTCAGGCCCCTTGGAAGCAAGGGAGTCCAGGAACTCCTTCATCCTGTGCTGAGGGATTGTTCGCGCCTTCACACGGATGTATTCTTCAAAGGAAATGGTGTTCTCCAGGGAATTATTCATATTGCAAGGTCCTCAGGATTCCTTAACAAAGAGAAATTTGAATACTTTAATGGTTATACTGTACAAGAACATGAGCATAGTCAGTAGCAAACCACACACAGAGTGGAGCCCTACCAGGTAAGCGCGCATACCCTGAAGCCTTGCAAGGCAGGAGCTATAGTGTTAAGGTACCATATTTCTTTAAGTAGTAGTCAGCCCCTGGTTAACTGTGATAGGTCTGAACAGAGTTTTCAGACCGCCAACAGGAGAGGGGAGAGAAAACAGCAGCAAGAAGATTCCAAGAGAGAGGAAAAGGAGGTCTGGAAACAAGGGGACACCAGCAGCAGCCTGTGTGAGGAGGACATGCATGTGAGGTGAAGAGAGAAAAAGAAACCTGGAGAACAGGAAGACAGTGAGGGCAAGGAGAAAAACAGCAAAAAATCCACTTGAGAGCTCAAGGGTACTGAGTTCAAGGGTATGATTCATTTGAACTGCTGACTTATCCTGCCTTACTACGAGAACTATTTCTCTGATGAGTTTAGTCCTGTTTCTAATTAGCCTGGCAAACGATAAACACATTTAGACATTAAACCTCCAACCACTGGCGCGGTCATGAGGTCCAGTATAGCAACAGAGTTCAAACCACAGCTGCCAGAGCACTGAACTTTGGGAGTCTTGGGCTAGTGATATACGAAGAGGAGAAAAGGGGGACACAGACAGAGCCTTGTATGAGCTATAGCAACAGGTGCTGAGCAGAAAACAGCTACAGAAGAAGGAAGTGATCCCACAGCTTCAACCCTGAATGGCTGCAAGAGACTCGCTACAGCCAGGCAGCCCCACTTCAATCGAGCACCACCGCAGATGGAACTCAGGGGCAAAGAGGTGCAGCAGCAGCAACTTGTCAGCAGTGCTACATGCGATTTTAACAGGACTCCAGCTCCAGCCCTCACTAGAGTCCAGGAGCACAGGACCAGGCCTGGACTCCCTCTTCCCCGTTGAGGGACAAGGTCTAAACATGGCCGCAATCGCGGATGCACAAGGGGATTGTGGCTGCGAGGCACGGGCTGCAGGCAGCCAGCGTGCGGATCCCTGCGGGAGAGCAA